ATATGCCATTCTAAACAAGTAGGGGATATTTGATTTACAGGACTGATAAAATGCAAATGATGAAGCCAAGGAGGACTGACTTTGGTTTTACGCCGCTTTTGGCAATATTCCAGCAATATCACGGCGGGGGACACCAGAAATGGGCTTCACTCATTGTACCCATGTGGGGATTCGAACCCGGGTCTTTGGCGTGACGAGCCAAGGAGGAAACAGATGAAGAGAAATTAAAGGAAAATGTGACAATTTATTCCATTCCTTTGGAAATGTTTCATCTGTATGGATATATATTACTTTTTTCTCATACGCATTGGCTTTGGCTAGTGGTATGCTCGAAAAATGGAATATCCCCTACTTTTTTTGAATGGTATATATCACTTCCTCTAATCTATGTCAGGTCAGAATATGCTTTCCAAAACCAAACACCCGTGACAATTTTTTTCGTGGATAGTTAAAGGTGAGGTGAGGTGAAATTGGGTTTAACGTCGTGCTTGAGAATATTTCGCTCATATGACGAGGTGCATGCGTGTGTATGTGTATGTGCGGCTGCTTGTACTAGCCCAGACTGAAGCTGGTTTATAGTGCTAGCCCACCAAGATACCATGCCGCAGAGAAGCATGAATACCCCACTCAGACACATTATACTGACTCCGAGTCGACCATTCCTTGTTGTACCCATTAATGCCGAGCGCCAGGCAGGTACCAACAAGTACCATATTTTAACGTCTTTTGGTATGACGCGGCCGGGGATCGAACCCGCGACCTTCCGCTCTCCGGGCGGACGCTCTAACCACTACACCACGGAGGCGGTCCGGATAGTTAAAGGAGGCAATGTAACAGGTAAACTATGTCCAAGACAATATCTAGCCTGAAACCGCTTTTCTGTAGAATTGTCTTTAAACGAAATGAGCGTTTAAACAAAATAAAACTCGCTTTTTTGCTTGAAGATACAAACAATAACCACACACCCACGTCATAAACCTTCACATTATTTATACAACGGCGTTGTGTTCGTATACACATTTAGGCAGGTACAGTTATGCCTGGTTTTAGCAGTTCAAATACCAGATCTCCCTTCTTTTTCAGTATTATTAACAACCTGATTATTCTAAGATTATGAATATTGATGTACATGCTATTGATGAACAGATTCAAGCTCTATTTTTGTCTTTAGAAGAGTACACGAAGTCCGAGTCTGGCGGAAACAACATTCTACGTTCACATTTGACACGTACAAAAGCCGTTCAAGACACATTAGCTGAGAAGAAAACACGCTAAATACATCCTGAAATAGATATAGGTTTACTCGATCTACTTTTAAACAACAAATACTCTATACCAAAATATATAAATAAACATGTTGTCAAATGATACTATGTATAACTTCCGCTCGTCTCGAATAGAAGATTGGCCCTCCATATTCTTTCTGTATTCACTTAAGTTTTCGGATGAGTCGAACCTCTCATCACTCGAAGGATGTCCGGACCCTCCGTCAACTTCAGCACAAGCATGTTATAAAATAAGACTATTTCATTCCCTTTGTCCGACACAATGACATCAGCGAGTGAGTGCGTTTAGTTTTACGCCGTTTTTTTTAGCAATATGTTGAAGAGGGAACAGCAATATTCCAGCAACATCACGGCGGGGGACACCAAAAATTGGCTTCACACATTGTGCCCATCTGGAAATCGAACCCGGGCCTTCGACGGGACGAGGCACCCCACCGGCCCACACAATGACATCAAGCAGAGACCGATCAAGTCCGAAGCGAAGTGTATAGTTCCTCATTTTGCAACATGGCCACTGAAATGACTGATCGAACGACAACCCCTACATCCCCCTTGCCGTCATTGTCAACAATATATGCTGCTCAAAAGAAGTTAGAGAACAGCCGATTTTAAAATATTACTATAGTTAAACTGTCATGGCCACTGGGCCTTTCCCACTTTGAACCCATAACTGCAGGGGAGATAACCACCGCGGTCTGGTCACCACAAACAGGGGACTGAATCTGGGCCCTCGGCGTGACGAGAGAACGCTTCAAGCACTAGGCTACCCCACCGCCCCAAGTATGTACGGACGTATACGTCAGTCTACGCGGTTACAATTCCTGATAGACACTGGATTGTGTATGCAGTTCCGTTCAGTTATCAATGGATGTCGGTTTGTCCAAGCGGAACAGGACATGGCTACGACGTCGCAGCTAAATGAACACCGAGTACGGATCCAAAAGGCACCACTGTATCTGATCACCTTAATCTGTTACCCCTAAACCCGTAGCACGGACGATCAGCGTCATTTGTTCCCCACAAACTGATTACATGTCACGGTAATGAATTACCCAATTGATGTATGGTCGACGTGGGACGACGTATTATGCCGTTATTACAGCGTCACACCGTGGCCTCACCTGCCTACTTTGATGTACTCATTTAAAAGTCATGAAACGCTGGAACCACCATCAAACCTTACTTTCATCCCACCGACGCCAATTATCTCGTATGAAGCCTAATTTTGATGGCAATAATGTTTAACGTGTCTCGTTAGCTCGTGTAGTGTCGGACGAACAGGTTGGCCACCATGAGCTAACCATGGAAGTGCTGGGCCGCTGAGTTGAGTTACTTCATATATACATCAGTATGATATGCAATGCTTGGAAGGAGATGGGGCTTTGATGTTGAAGGGACGGGGCAGACAGTTTCACGGCGTGGCGACAATCCGCATTCTTGAAATGGTCGGGATTCTGAATATCAAAGAGGACATGGGTTGTATGTTGTATATCATGTACTTATGTTATGTGACCTTTGACAGGGCCGGGGAGCGTGTTGGTTACCTGACGCGGTTGTTGCGACAACGACGGTGTATGAACTGATGACAACCCAGTGGAGATAAAACACCTGTCATTTGAATTACCTCACGCGTCTCACCTCCCACTTTATATTCGCCATTGTTCGTGTTAGGAACAGCGGGGATCTGTGACGAGGAAATGAGGAAAGTATCCATGATTCTGTAAAACATACTGCAAAAACCAAGTTAAGACCACTAACAATTGGAAAGGTGTGTGTTGGCAAGACCCACCAACCGTTACGTCTGAGGAAGAAACGGGTGTACGTTTACTTCTTGTTTGAGATATATTACACATGCCTACATGCGATTAGTCTGTCGTACAGACCCTGAAGCAAATATATCCAAGAAAGCCAACACAAGTCTAGAAAATGTGGCAAATCTAAATTTCCTCAGCTTCAGCCTGAAAATGAAGAAAGTCTCAGGGTTCCTTTTCATTATATTTTTTTTTTTTACTATGAACTTTTTCAGTAAAATATGTTCATTTCAGAGACTAGTTGTTAGTCTAACATGCGATGTATGGGCCCATATATTTGATGCAGATTTCTTGGTTGGTTCCCAGAGTGATTGATATCAATGCGAACAATTCACCCTTAGCATAATTCCTAGGCTGTCAGTCACCTTGCTCTTCTCTTTCGTTCCCTTACGGGGATGCTTTACCTCTATATGAATCATGTAGATATTTTCCATACTGGTGCTCCCTTTACCATCCTCTTGTCAAATTGAATGTACCAGTGCATGTTGTTTGTCCACGTACTGAACATTGAAAACTTCAGCTCGGAATAAGATGAGTTATAATCAGGTCTATACCAATATGATCAGGAATCCTACGACGACATTGTGCTTGATTATCTAATTCCCAGATACTCAAAACAGCCATTTTGCTACGCATGATAAAATCGAGTGTTTTCAGGGTGTTACAGTTTATTCAAAATTGACTTTTAAACTTAATTTTTCAACACAGCACACTGTCATGTGCCATGACGAGGCAATGTGTGTAATTGTGTAACTTAATTATCAAATTTAAAAGTAAAAACTTTAAACATTCTGAGGAAATGTCTTGCAGCAAACGAACAATATTAATTAGTGTAATTGAAAATTTCACATAAAGCCTGACCTCAGCACACAGGATGGTGTGTGTGCTCGCATAAATATGTTCAACGTGATTTAAGTTGTGCTCTGCAACAGACTGTGACGGGACAACCCAACCCTTCCCTCTGTTCCCCACTGTATTCGTTGGAAACAAATACGACCCTCTAGTTAGCAATTACCGTTCTTTTTACTACAGCGAGTGCAGAATAACAGTTTAAGACGACAGCTAAGAGTCGACTGTATTTAAAAATCAGTCTTCGTCAATCCTTGACAGACATGTTTATGACAATTGGCGTGTGGCTAAGTTATCGTGATCACGTGGCAAGTCCAGTGACGTGTGGTGCATGTCGTATAACGCTTCATGCTACGTTAACCGTCTCGGAACTTTTATCGCGCAGTGAGCACTGTGTGACGCCAGAGGTGGGGACCATCTCAACACCATTCTACCTATATAAATGAAGGGCTCAACATTTGTGAGTTCAGTGGTTGTGACTTGTGTTGAAACAAGAAACTTTTCAGGAGACAGTACGTTGGCGTTAAAATTTAACATTGCCTACCGACATTTCAGGAAATATGGCGACAACAGAGGACACATGAACAGTTTGTTCACAGAGTCGCAGGCAAGCACAGAGATTCAGGTCTTGGACGTTTACGTCTTGGTGAAAGAGTGAGTGAGTGAGTTTAGTTTTACGCCACACTCAGCATTATTCCAGCTATATGATGGCGGTCTGTAAATAATCGAGTCTGGACCAGACAATCCAGTGATCAACAGCATGAGCATCGATCTGCGCAATTCGGAACCGATGACATGTGTGAACCAAGTCAGCGAAACTGACCACCCGATCCCGTTAGTCGCCTCTTACGACAAGCATACCAACGCTGAGGAGACGAAGATTCTGGTTAGCGTTGATCTTCAGCAACCCATGCATGTCACAAGAGGCGACAAACAGGATCGGAAGGTCAAGCTTGTTGACTTGGCTGATGCATGTCAATGCATACCAGCTGCTCGCACTGATGTTCTTGTCAGTCACAGGAGTCGATTACAAACCCCCGTCTAACAGCTTGGTAATTACCAGTTCGGTTTTACGCACAAAACAAATAACAATGTTCAGAGAATCTTATAAATCTTATACAGATCTCACCAATAATAGAGAGTAAGCGACTGATTTAGCAATGTTCCTGCAAAATCAAGAATGGGCTTCAGACATGAACCCATGTGGAAAATCGAAACCAGTTCTTTGCCGTTAAGAGCGAACGCTTCAACCAATAGGACACCCCACTGCCATAACCAAACGAATACATCATGATGTAATATTTTGATACGAGGTATCCCAATCACCTCTTTATCTTCCTACTGTGTAAATGTTCAGTGGTCATCTGTGGATGAAGGTGGTGAGGTGTGTCTCGGTTACCTGATTCAGATGCATATCAGGTGTCATTACTCCGACGTCTTGATGGCTGTCCGTGTGTAGATGAGGAGAGGTAGATCTGGAAATATACCAATATATATATAAATATATACTTGAATATAACAGGTGCTATAGTGTGTTTGCGGTGAAAACGTACCGATGAATTTCACTTTAAACAAAAAAGTACATCGGATAAAGTGAAATTAAGAGTGCGAATCCTCATAATTTTACCTTGCCAAATGAACATTTAAATCTCAAAATTTTATTCAACTTAGGATAAAAGTTGTTTAACAAACGATCATAGATTCAAATCGCTAATATTGGTTTGTATTACAAGGGGGTAAGCGCAGTAGATGGAACAGTGAAACAAATGCACGTGCGGTACTACTAGTTCTTGGTGTTTCATTTAAAGGGCATACCCCCTTGTAATACAAACCAATAATAGCGATTTGAAACTATGATCGTTTGTTAAACAACTTTTATCCTAAGTTGAATAAAATTCTGAGATTTGAATGTTCGATTGGCAGGGTAAAATTATGAGGAATCGCAATCTTAGTTTCACTTTATTTGATTCACCTTGTCGTTTAGAATGAAATTAATCTGTACGTTTTCACTGCAAACAGTCTATAGGGTATGATCTCCTGTCTGGAACAACTTTTTAAGATTTACCCATGGATTCAGGTGGTGTTTAATTAATAATCATGTGGTTATTGCAACAATCTAAGTGATCTTCACACCCACAAAATTGACAGCTGGCATAAAACGTGCCATTGATGTTCGATCGTTAATGCGTGCAATCTCCTGCTTTCAAACATGCCCATTCAACTCCGGCGGACATTCTGTGTCAGAATGGGTCAACATATGCTTATTTCAAGGGGTGACTATTGAGGGGGAAACAACTATAGCGATAGCGATAGTCTATTGCGACCCACTATTACAATACTATTGCAAAAGGTTTTTTAATTCTTGACAATGGCTCATTTGAAGTCATTTCCCAAATGAATGTATAGTTTACATGAAATGAAAACACGTTGAATCAGTTTCAGTCTTTTTAAATGAGTGACAAGAAACTTGAAACCCAGATCAAAAGAACAGTTAAAACTGGAGTGAGTATGGTTTTACGCCGCTTTTAGCAATATTCCAGCAATATCACAGGGGGGACACTAGAAATGGGCTTCACATATAGTACCCATGTGGAGAATCGAACCCGGGTCTTCGGCGTGACAAACCAACGCTTTAACCACTAGGCTACCCCACCGCCCCGTTAAAACTGTAACTCAATGAAGCTGCAAGTCTGCACCCAAACATCCTGTTTTTTGCGCTGCGCATTTATCAACTGAAGTCAATAAGTAAACTATCGATAGTCACACATACTATCGATGCAACCATAGCGTTTCGTTTCTACCATCGATTAATTGCTATCGGAGACTCAACAATTGCAGTGCGACAATTGCAATGCATCGATAGTTCGTTACAGCCTTACTTATTTGTAAGAGGGGCGGTGGGGTAGCCTAGTGGTTAAAGCGTTGGCTTGTCACGCCGAAGACCCGGGTTCGAATCCCCACATGGGTACAATGTGTGAAGCCCATTTCTGGTGTCCCCCCGCCGTGATGTTGCTGGAACATTGCTAAAAGCGGCGTAAAACCAAACTCAGTCAGTCAGTATTTGTAAAAAGGGTCTCCTCACTGTTCATACTTACAGTGATGATAAACCTTCGTAAGGTGACCAAACGGATTGTGTGTCCAGTGAAGGCGACTTGGTTGATAACATGTCATCGTACTCCCACTGCGGTTAACATCAGTCAGAGGTTTGAGTGAGGAATTTCATATGGCTTATAGAGGAACAAACTGGCATCTTGAACTTTTCTCAGATTTTAGTGTACAATATCTTACGTATGAATATGTATTGCATGTTCATGGGAACATTTATACATTTTAGAACATAATTACCAAGGATATCGTAAACGTTTCCTGAAGTTAAAGTGGTTAAAGTGGTCTCTCATCACGGCGTAGACCCGGGTTTCATTCCCTAAATGGGAACGATATGTGAAGCCCGCGCCATGATATTGCTCGAATATTGCTAAAAAAAAAAAAATTCACTCACTCGATTTTGTCACGTTTTCCACGTTGCTGTATGCTGGTCTAGATGAAGTCATACGAAATAATCAGGTGGTTTTTTTTTCCTTCTATTGAGCATCAGGAATTTGATTTCATCGATTTATACTGTCACGGAATGACACGTGTGCACAGTTACGAATTCATCGCAAGACTGATTTTAATCAACTTGAATATACGTCTGTTGTGACCTTTAAGCTAGAATGGTCTTAAGCGTAGAAGACCATTCTAGCTTTAAGGTCACAACATACGTCTGCTACCATAATCTTTCAGATTGCAACTTCCACATGAGCGAGCTGAACAGCGTTACAGTTACAATATGGCGGGTCAGCTTAATGTGGGGGAAGGCCCTACGTGATGCAGGTATCACATGTTTACCACCTTGGTGAAACAACTGGTGCTGACACACCTGGAAACAACCAGAGCCTGGATTCGAACCCATGATTATTGGTTAGTGGAACGTCTGAGGGACGCAACTCAGCCACCAACCAGATATATTTTATAGGGTGGCATTGTACACTGGACAATAATATTGGGAACAACTAATATTTTTCGTGAGCGAGTTCGTTTTACGCTGCTTTTAGTGTTTTTCCAGTCATATCGCAATGGGGAATACCAAGGATGAGCTTCACACGTAACCAGACACAATGTAAAAGGTCTCTGACCTGACCATCGAACGCTTTCACCACCCAAGACAACTCATCCCGCAAAATATGTATCACAAATGTTTTGAGACGCCCCCTAAAGGTGCGTCACCCAGACCACCGCGACAATGAGGCTACAACAACACGTGTCCCTGTTTTTAAACTACGATTTCACAGTCGCTTCATTATTCCGCTATCTTTGACATTCTTCTCCCTTCATTTTGTTCAGAGTTTCCGAGACGTAAATAATTCAATCCAAATGTGGGTAATGTTTATAGTAAATGCTCAAACAGACAAACAGAGTGCAGACTGTCCCTTGTTACCCCGTTAAACCTTTTGTCAATTTGTGGGGGAAAAACGTTCTACAGAGAGGGAAAAACTTGGAAAATGCACAATTACACGAAACGGTCACAACTGAGGCATGGCGTAACAAACGGCTGCACATGTAGAGGTGCTTTTTTCTCTGAAATCTCAGAGGACATTTCTGTGACATTCACATGTAACGAGCAAAAAGCAGGAAATTTGGCACGAAGAATGATGGATGCTGGAGTTATTGGAAGCGCCCCATGACTAAACCACGATGAAACACTGACTGGGTTTCGCCACGTCTCCTCAGGCCAGTCAGCGATGCTCTGTGACAGGCGTATATTGGGTATAGCCACAACGGGTTTGCATGGAACTGGATATGTATGGAAACACACAACGACACTAGGGTTTTGTGTATGGTAGGTGAATATGATTTTATAACGATTTTAAGCAATATTACGGCAGTTGACTACTGAAACAAGTTGTACACATGTGGGGAATTTAACTCAAACCTTCCGCGTGACGAACGAACGCTTTGACATCTGGGCCACCCTTACCGCCCCTACTGCATGGACAGCTTTAAACTTATTCCCTGAAATAAATATATTTTAAAACTGCCGTTACATATGTTACCTAAGCACCACCCTTTCAGATGTTTGTTTATCATATACTGAAATACTAAACAGGTATATTTTCAGGGATATGTTAATAAATGTTCATTATAACTTGACTGACTGAGTTTGGTTTTACGCCGCTTTTAGCAATATTCCAGCAACATCACGGCGGGGGACACAAAAAATGGGCTTCACGCATACTGCCCATGTGGGGATTCGAACCCAGGTCTTCGGCGTGACAAGCCAACGTTTTAACCATTAGGCTACCCCACCGCCCCTCATTATAACTTGAAATAAAGATGTATTGATGTTAGTTTATGGTAATATGGGATTATAATTCATATATCTCCGGAGGGGTATCAAACAGACAAACACAATGTGCTTACAAGCGAGTCCGGTAATTCCGCCCGACCGGTAATTCTGCGCAGCTGCAATAGCTAACTTCCGTATTGAAGGTAGACATCGTCTGCTACCACATTTACGCTTGAAATCGGGACATTTCTACAAAGGACTGGCTTTTAATCACTAAAGGTAAGTAAATAACAGTAATTGACAGATAAATTGACAGTTTTATGAAAATTCGTTTTCTTCAGACTTTTAAACTGTTTTCTTCATTATTCATGATTGGATTTAATATAAAACACTCTTCCTTTACATACTTCGGATCTCCAGCTGGATGTTATGCGCCATAATTGGATTTAGAATTACCGGACAGTAAGCGATGTCGTCAGAACGCCGGTAAGGTCAACCGTATGGCATAATGCCACGTTAGAATCTTATAGTCGTCAAATAAAACGTATATTTCTAGGTAAATATGAAGCATACCAGCATGATTAGTCACGTAAACCACAAAAAATAAGAGACCTTAGTTGCCGTGTTGCAATCGATGTGTTGGGGTGCGCGGAATTACCGGACGGCATTGTATTGCTGTTGTGTGTATGTAAACAAACCAAACAAAACAAAACACTTACTAAAATCGATTTGCTTTTCGACTTTGAAGGCGATGAGTGGAACACCAAGGCTAAGCCTTTTTCATCCATTATATCGTTTACACCTAGTTTAATATTTTAAAGATTCATACCTGTAACAAATGTGGAACACATTTTCGTGTTCTTTTACCAGACGACTTCATCTTTGGCGTTGCACTTATGCCTCTACGTCACGTGACGTGTCACATTTACACGAGCGGCACGAGCTTCACAGGGACCATGATGCACTGCTCATGACTAAAGTTATGGCAGTCTGGCAGGACTAAAATTCCACAAATAATTGTACTGCAAAGGGGATAATCACTCAGTTTAGATTTAACAATGTTTATCCAAGACCTTCCATTTACATCAGGTGGTATGTATGGGAGTCTCATCTATCAGCATCTATGGTGTTGTCAGTCTAGTGTCTTGT